AATAGATGCATACACATATACATATATTGAGCAGGAGAAGAGACCAAAAGAGAGAAAATAATGTGGCAAAATGTTAACAACTGCTTAATCTTGGCGGTATATCGTTGTTTGTTGAACTATTCTTTCCACTTTTCTACAGCTTTGACATTTTTCTAAATAAAAAGTTAAAATCCCTTCATTTGGAACTAGCTGTCAAAATTATAAATACACAAAGCCTTTGACCTAGTAATTTCACATCTAGGAATTTATCGGATGTGTGATCACTATTATTCACTGCAGCATTGTTAGATAATAACAAAAGATTGGGAGCAATCTAAATTTCCTTCAACAGGGGACTAGCAAATGGAATTAAAAATAAAGCAGCATTTTAAAGGACTAATATGAACTCATCACCAAGCTATCGTGGTAGGGAAACCCTGTAAGTTACAGAACAATACCTATAGTATTGTGTTTGATAAAACAAATGACCCTCTTTCACCTTCTCCTTAAACCCACAATCCTCGAAGTGTGACCTTGTTGCTTCTTACTGCCCTTGAATAAGGCCTAGCTTTATGACTTGTTTTCTCAACAGAACAGAGCAGAAACCACAGTGGCCAGGTCCAAGCCTAGGCCTCCAGAAGGGCTTTCTGCGCTGCTGTTCTTGTAAAAACCCTGACACCACAATTAAGAAAAGCTGGAAAGTAAACAACACAAAACCCCTGTGGAGTAAAGCAGAATAATAACAGCTAAAACCATTTAGACCAACCAAGCCTCAGTAGCCTCATCAACCCATTAGCAGAGATCAGTTGAGCCTGGCTCACAATGGTAGCATGGTCCAGCTTACTCATAAACTCATGAGAAGTAATGCATAATTTTTGCTTTAAGTTACTGAAGTTTTGAGTGATGCTGAGGGAGATGGCACTGGTACAGTTCATACAAATATGCTCTGTTTGTGTAAACTTTTGGCTGTATTTGTTAGATGTATATGTAGATGTGTTTGCATATGCAAACTTTCTCTGCAAGCTGGCACAAGAAACTGAAAACAATTGCTTTTGAGGGAAGGAGCTGGGAGATGAAGATTAAAGGGAGATATTTCACTGACTGCCCTTTTGCACCTTTTGAATTTTGAAACATGTGAATGTATAAACAGTAAGTGTTTCTTTTACTCAAGTATTTCCAGAACCTTTGAGTCATCTCTCCTGGAGTCATGGAAACTTTCATACCCTATAGCAGATTATAAGGAGTACTTATAAGATATGTAAATGTACATGCAATGCACAGGACTGACTCTGGAAGAACCCACTAGAAGTTGATAACACTATTTGGTTCAAAGGAAGGATATTATGGGACTGGAGGTCAAGTATCCAAGGAAGAATGACTTTCCCTACATGCTATTTTTTTGCTGTTTAAATTTTTTACACTGAACTTATATTACCTTTTCAAGAGGAAAATAATAAACAAAATGCATCTATCCTTTGACCCAGCAATTATCACTTCAAATAATCTCTCCTGCAGAAATACAAGAGCAAAGATAAATGCATGTTATTGCTTGTGTTTATAAATTATAAAAATCTAAAAGACCATCAACTAAGGATTAATCAAATAAATTATGGACTGTTCAGGGAAGGAAATATTATACAGTTGCTAAAAACGAACCCATAAACTAGGTTGCCCTTTAACATTCCCAAATTATTAAACTATTCCCTAGGGCCCTCCCTGGTGGCACAACGGATTGGGATGCAGCACTAGGGAGCTATCTGCAGTCACCGCACCAGTTCAATCCCCAGTCAGGGGGTTAAACCACACGGCAGGCAGCGGGCGGTGGGCGGCTGGGGGTGGGCGCATTGGGCCTGGCAGGCCAGGCAGAGGGGGCAGCAGACCTCTCCTGACACGCCCACTGCTTACAGTTCAGTCAATCTGCCTGTTCTGCCCCTCACTCTGTCTTTAGGTGAATCCTCTCGCCCCCGCACCCCTGGCTTGCACCTAGTTCTTGTGTGCATAAATAAATAAATCTTAAAAAAAAAAAAAAAACTACTTTAATGTCTATTCCAGACTTCCTGAGGCGCCCCCTAGTGCCCACTGTCAACCATTTCTCTGACTCACCACAAACTGAATAAACCCATGCAGCCTTGACCCAGGTCACAGAACATTCCAGACCTCCTGAAGCGCCCCCTGGTGCCCACTGTTAGCCATTCTCCCGAGAATCACCACAAACTGAATAAGCCCAGGCAGCCTTGACCCAGGTCACAGAACATTCCAGACCCCCTGAAGGGCCCCCTAGTCAGCCATTCTAAGAATCACCACAAACCAAAAAAACCCAGTTCACACAGAATATTCCAGAACACTACAGAAAACATCCAGCTTGTGGTAATTCATCACAAAACTTCAGTAGTTTTAAAATATGCATGTGTCTATTATAAATGTTTGCAAATATACAGAAAACAGGTAATAGGTATACAAATCAAAGTATTACATTATGAATGAAAAGGCTTGAGGGAGAAGTGTATTTACTTTGCATACTTCTAAAACCAAACATTTTATGAGGCTTTTTTTCCATCATAATTTTTAATTTAAGTGAAAAGTAATAATGAAACATACAAAAAGATCATTTTAAACACTATTTTGAGGAGAAAATATATACCATCAGGATTATAAACCCTAGAATTCTTGACTCAACACCACCCACAGTACCCACTCCCCTCTGGGTGCTTCCCCCTGCCACCCCATAAATCCTGAGGGGAGATAAATGCTTGAGGAACAGATTCAGACAAAGAAACACTTTACTAGTTTGGGCTTTTACCTCAGACTTCAGTATTTACCAGATGGGTAAGGCTAAAAGCTCCTTTTGTCCAAAGCAGGCCTCAAGGACCCAGACTAGACGCTTCTTTCTCTGGGGGCTACACTGAGTTTTGGAGCCCTAAACACAATTTTAGTCAGAAAAGAAAGGTAAGAAAACACAAACTGAAGGAAAAACACACCTAGAGAAGGCAAGAAAACTTTTAGGGTGATTGCTGTTTCCCAGTTAGTCTTAGCACAGAAAGCCCAAGAAACCTCTCAGGTCCAAGCAAACCAGAATCTACAAACCAGGCCTCAAGTGCCCTTTAGGCCGCTATCCCTGAGCCTCAGCCAATTTTCCCCTTGACTTCCAGGTGAGAGAGGAGTGTTTTCTCTTCAGAAGTTAAAGGAAAGGCACCAGGCTTCTCTTACCACACTTCACAGAAGAGAATCAGATAGCCAAAGATTCCAAAGAGGCACCAAAAAATAATTCCACACAGATTCAACAGCTTTTAGCCTCTTCATGCCGAGAGTAACACAAACCATTGTAACCCAGTAATTTCCTGGGTCTAAATTCTAATTTATATTTTATTTAGAACATTTTACCATATCAAAATATGTACCCCTCATTCTATTGCTTACTTAAGCTGTTTCTTTAAATGAGCTCACTTTTTCTTTGTTATTTTCATTTTTAAATATATGCATTTAAAATTATGACTTGCTAAATTTATTTTCACAGAAAGCTTTCTCCCTCTATCATAAGCAGGAAATCAGTATCATATGCCACAAACAGAAGGTATAAATTAATAAATAGTACCTAGAGGTGGTTCTCCTTGACAAGGCGCCTCTTGCAAGCTTTCCTCAGGAAAAGCTTGAAGTGGGAAAGACAAGAAGTTAGATGCTCCTCCTAGAGGTCAGAGTGTGTGGTTAACACTTCCTCAGCTTTTTCTTCCAGCAGTTTCTATAGGTTAACACTACCCTGTGGCCACCTATAAGCTGGTGATTTTTCTTCCAGCTCCCTCTATTGGTTTGAGTGTGGAATTACTTTTTAACAACCTTTTATTGAGTGACTATTACATTGCATGAGCCTCCTGCAATGACACAGACACAATCTTTTCCTTGGCATTTCTCCCCAAAATGCATACCCTGAATTTAATAATGAAGAAACATCAGTCAACCCTAAATTGAGGGACATTTTTCAAAAGAATTGGTGGTACTTTTAAAAAATATGAAGTCCATAAATGATGAGGAAAGACTGAGGTACTTTGAAATTTAGGGAGATCAAAACACAATGAATTTAACAGAATCATGGGTCAGATGTTATTTTTCTGATAAAATTCACTTTAAAAAATTATTTTTTTATGCATACAAGAACTGGGTACAGACCAGAGGTTTGTGGGGGAGGGACAGGAGGGTTCCACCAGAGACAAAGAGGAAAGCAGAACAGGCTGCTTGACTGAAATACACTGCTGAGGAAGGGGAGAAGCAGGTGAGACGAGAGGTCTGCTTCAGGGTCACCTCCCTGACCTGGGAGGGAGTGCTGCAATGGCTGTGGATAGCTTCAAAGTGCTGAGACTTAACCCCTTGCACCACCATGGAGGCCCTACACCGAAGCTTTTAAAGGAAACATCATTATCTGTAATTTAGGTGGTTCAGAAAACTGTATATACAGACTTAAACACAACAGATCACCCACGCCATATACTATATATGTGCAAATGAAAGCAAATGATCAAGCAAAGCTGATTAACTGTTAATCATCAGGGAAGCTGGCTAAAGGATATACAGGGGTTCTTTGGGCTCTTCTTACAAATTTTCTTAGTGTGAAATAGTTCATATTTTTTAAAATACTGAATATTCAGCGGTTAACCCCAGTCATGCATATCTTTTGCCTGCCTACCCCCATCTTGTTCTAAAAGCAATTTAGTCTTATAAATACATTTAAAAATGGAAAAGGTAAAATAAATTTAAAAAAAGAACAGAAATATGTGTGGCCTAGGCAGAACCTTCTAAGTTGTCAAGTTCTACAGAATGCTTTTGAAAATTTGACAATGATATAGACAAGTTTCTTTGTTTTAGGGACAGAGCCCAAACTTCAGGCAGCTCTTCGTCTGTGTTCCCAATATTCTTTTATACAAAACTTGACTGCAATTAAATACAAGGAGTGCATTGTTGGGGTATGGAGATCGAAAATAATCATTAATAAGAATAAAAGAGAAACTTCAAAGAATGTTACAGAATTTTATGCATGTGTACACACTTTATTAAATTTTCATTCTACGATATACACAGATCAGCATTTCACAAATCTTCCTATTATTCCAAAAGCAGTTATCATGAAACACAGTGATTATATAAGTCAATCAAGCAGAAAGAGCATCTACAGGATTATCATATCATCACTTGTATTTATTTTCAAATCGAAGCCTGAAATATGATATAATACTAGGATAGGAAGAGAATTGTATTTTATAACAATGACCACTTTTCAAATATTAGACTTTATATAAAAATAAAGGGGCACTGTCAATAGAGTTCATCTGAACATTAGCATCTCTTCTATTTATTTCAAAATAATACCTGCACAAACTTAACTTTCTTGTCAATTTAAATAATAGAAACAAACCTTGGTTTAAGCAATAGTGAGGCATCTTGCCTCCTAGTTCTACCACTGCAACAATTTCATTTTCCTGACCAATTCTACCTCACCACTGAATTTCAAAAGTAAATTTAAATATCACAACCCAAAGCTTATTTCTAAACCCTAAAGCAGAGTCAAAAAAACGATGGCCAAAAGTGTCCCTTTAAGGCAAAGAGGACAGGAGTGTGAGTGTGGATACAAATCCTGTAAGATAAATGACCTCTCGGTATTATATAGGTAGAAACGTCTTGACATGGTTCTTTCACAAACAATACATACATACATACATACACTGAGTACCATCAAAGCAATTTTCCTTTAAAATGGCTTTTGAGGGAACAATCTTCATAATATATACATTGATGTTAGGGTTGAAGGAGCATGGGCTTTGCACAGGTGAAACAATATGATAAATGAGGCTGTTAATGGTCACTATCAGGACTGAAAATAAACTACACATCTGAGGCTGGAAGAGAACTACTTACTGCAAACTCGGTGACACTCTCGTATAATTCAAAGAGAATACCATGTAATTCTGAGAAAACACTTCAAGTGGTAAGCACTACTAGCCTGTGAAGACCTTCAAAGTGCATTGTCTTCATTTACAATTCAAGGATCTTTGCCTTCAAAAGACACAAATGCAGTAGTTTTCATTTCTTACATTCATTTCAAAGTGGAATATTATCACGCTAGCAGGTAAATCTCCATACTAAATACAATCAAACCACAATGTCAGAACATTAAAAGAAATTCATCACAAGAGACATTTTACAGTTTTAAATAATAAATAACACAAAAATAGATTACACTCGGGTTTTTTAAAATAGCTTCATCAGGATTTTTTCTGTCCAAATTAAATAATTTATGGTACTTTTGACTCATTTTCATGTACACTGTTCACAGCTCAAACAGCTTCTTAAAAGCAGTATGCACAATAACGTTGACTGTTTCAGCTTCTACAAGCTTCCTTGTAGATATTAAACTGCCCTTACTATAAGGCAGCTAGATCCTGGTGACGACACAATAACCAAAACACAGTCAGCAGCACCACTCACCACACGACAAACAAACGAATCGAATGACAAAAAAGTAATGAGAAAAAGCAGCAATTGACACAGTATGTGGCGATTAGACACATAAAGCCCGCTTTTCTACCCCACCTTTACAGCACAACACTGTACCCCAAGGCACCTGAGGCCTCTTAATACCACCCGGTAGGTACAAGCTGTCAAGCTCCATGTATGCTTTTCTACACAGTGGACTGTGTGTAAATAACATTATTCATTCATTTGTAGATGCTCCACACATCTGGTCAAGGCAGGAATTTCTTCTCCTTGATAACACCACCTAGAAACATTAACAATATTTTATATATTCCTCAGGACAACAGGGTTGGAGATAAAAAGATCAATGGGTGTAGCTAAGTCATAAAAACCTGTGGTGACTCATCCAGGCAGCTTGTAAGTCCATTTCCATTCTCAACATAAAATCAACCCTCACTTCATACACTCTGACAGCAAAGAAGCGATATGGACATTAATGAAAGCAACTACATGTTTCTTCCCCTCTGTGAGAAATGGCAAGTAAGCAGCTCAAACAGGAAAGGGAAACGAAATAATGTACTTTAAGCTGATGCAGAAAAATAAAAAAAAATTAATATCGTCAAGAGCAATTCAGTTATTATTGTGAAATAAAGAGCTAAAAACTATGTAGTCAACAGGGAACAGAAAAATCTCTCAAGCAAGAGAATTTCTGATTAACTCGAGCTGTCTCATCACTGCTGGGAAAAAGTACCATTAGCAAAAATACATATCAGTGATGTTCTTAAATGTATAGACTCAAAATAGGTGCTCTTCGAGGCACCGAGAAAATAAAATAAATACAGACATATACTGAAAGCAATTAAAAAATGAGTATTTGAGACTTAATTGCTAGATCCAATGAGATCAGCAAAAAGACAGTAAGGTCACTACGCGCAGAAAATGGAACTTTTGAGATGCCAAGCATAACAGCATCAAAATGGTTTAAATCTGCCGCACTTTAATCCTCATTGTGGATCAAAGTTCTCTGCATTTTACATTTGTGTTTTGTGAATGTTTTATGTAGGAAACAGCAGTTAAAGTGCTGAATCAGAAATGGAAAGTCACTTGGGTGAGAGATCATCCATCAAGATGAGCGAAGAGCATGAACTGGCGCATGCTACTGGAGACTCTGCGGTTGTGCTGCCTTTAGCCAGTGAGTCTGAGGATAAGTCACTGCTGCTACTACTGCCATCCAAAATATCTGAACTGAGGACAAAGCAAAAAGAATTATAAGCAGATGCATCTATCAGGGTAAAGGTAAACATAACATGCAACAACACAGTTCCAAGAATCACACATCAGTAGGCCATTTGTAAATAATAAAAAGCATAAAAGCAACAGCAATGAACTACATAATATACTATATTCAGATACCTGCAAAAGGACAAAGTCACAGAAATCCAAAGACACTCAGTGTTCTGTATCATTTGAGTGCTCCCTGGAGACACCAGAAGGTCCAATATACAATAAGTGGTCCTCGTGACAGGTCTTAGTTTTTGTAACTGAGTTCCCTGATCTTCAGCTCAAGGGATTTCTATTTTTATATTTATCATCTTACCTGCCCATCAGCCTTAGAGTAAGCGGTACCTCATGGACTGTCTGAAGCATTCTACAAGCATACTATTTCATGGTCCTTGTATTCCAGAACAGAGGCTGTTAACTGCCCTAGATTTTATCACTTCTCACTTCCAAGAGTTGTACAATTCAAACACATTCTCCCTCTTCATTATTTGCCTTTGATATTCTTCTCATTGTCTGAATTTCTTACACTATTTTCTCTCCTTTCTAAGCCCCAAGGTTTTCTTACTACCTCCAAAAGACTCCTTTTCTTTGAGTCCTCAGTTACCATCCAGTTGAATTTCTAGAAGAAATGCTCCATATCTAAAAACCCAACACCTCAGAGTCCACTGCCTCTTTAATTCTGACAACTGGCTTCTACTCCTATCTCCCACTGAAACTTTTAATCTGAGCATGAAGAGACTCTATTTTTATTTATTTGTTTATTTTTACATCGTTGTTTATTTTTCTACAGTGTTTGATTCCTTTTCTCAGATACTGTCCCCATAAAATTTCCACCACCAAGACACGCGTGAACCATCACCAGAGTCTTGTGTGCTTCCCTCCCATTTTGATCCCTCTCCCTCCCTGACCCCTGATGAATAAATGTCTCCAATTTGTAGTTTACCTGCTACTTTTGTCTCCCCACGCCCTCCATACCTTGTATGGTTTCCCTATGTTCCTATAAGTGAAACCATCTGATAGAAGTTTTCTTTTTCCTTCTGACTTATTTCACTGAGCCTAACCCCATGAAAAGCCTCTATAACCCAGCCCAGTGATACATTACCCATCCAAGCCCAGGCTCTCCACTCCAGCCCACCTCATCAATCTGGCTACACAGTTCTGCATTCACAATGAAGAGCCTTCATAATCTGGCACCCAGCTGCCTTTTCGTTTTCATTCCCATCAATCCAGCATATATCCTCTATGTAAGTGTCCATATCAGGCCAAATTCACTCATTCATTTAATAAACTATTTGTTGAGTACCTGCTAAGTACCAGAAGTAGGCTAGATATTTAGGAATGCAATGATGTATGAGACAGATACAGTCCCTTCTCTCATCAAACTTATAGTATAGTACAGGACACAGGTATTTCAGTAATAGTGCTAAAAATATATATAATTACAATTTGTGATCAAAGCAATAAAGGAAAGATACAGGGGGAATCTGAGAATGCATAACATGGGAAACCTAATCTATAATAATGAGGAGAAACTAAGCTCCCCAGAGTGATATTTGAGCTTTTATCTGAAAGATAAGTAGCATTAAAAAAGATTTGGGAGGAAGCAAAAGTAGCTCTAGGAGCCAACAGTAGGCTAATGTGGCTGCAGGACAGAAAGGGAAAGGCAACGAGGAACAGAGCTGGAGGGTAGCCGGGCAGTTTGAAGATGTACACAGATTTTCTAATTTTGAAAAGGAAACTAAGCGTGGAATTGGAAAATGAATTAGGAATCAGGAAATACGGGTACTAGTTTGTTTGCGCACCAACTCTTTTGTAAAAGTCCATCCTGGCCTAACATGCCCTGAGGCTAAATATTTTGAGTCTTTAATACTGTCACTTTTATGAGTTTTCAAGTTAGCGTGTTCCTGTATGAAGCAAGCTATGGTACACTCGGACGTCTCTGGGCCTGATACTACCCTCTTCTTTCTTCCCTTTTTTTATTCTTCAAATTGCCAACTCTTTCTCATGCCTGTGGGTCGTTTTTAGGTAGAAACAATACAAATCAGTTTGAGAAGTAAAAATAAAAAGGAGAACAGTATATTCCACACCATTACTACTCTATGCTCACTGCTCTCAAATGCATCATTAATAATGCCAATTTTAAGTAAGAAGTTTGGAAAATTTAGCTGGCTCTGATATTTTTTCAGCCCAATGGCAAAAATGGGTCAAAAATATGAATTATTCAAACTACTGAAAGAAAGTTGCACAGATAATCTCAGACACTGGAAAATCAAAAGCACTTTATATTTACCTTTGGAACATATGTGATTTTTCCTCCTGCAGCATTTTGCCTAGACTAATATTAAAATGAATTTACTTTCCTAAAGCTGGGCAGCCGAAAGACACGGTCTATGCTATTTGGCAAGAAGAAACAGACTTAAGATTAAAATTTGGCCACCAAGCAGATAATCTGAATATAAATAAAGACTTTCTTATTCCAGCTACCAGACTTATGGTTAGCCCTGGGTTAAAAGATTCCATTTGTATTAAAACCTATTTGCTTAGGTGAATCCTGTATTCATTCAAAAAAAAAACACAGAACATGACTCATGCAATGAAATCTGTCTTCTAACATTGCGGATTACCTTAAGAGAAATACACTAACGGGGATGTTGCCAAGAAAAATTTATAAATCTGAACATTTCAGTTACTGTACTTTTTCAAGAATATATTTTTGTCAAGAACTTTATCTCCATGATTAAATTCAAAGGTATATAATTTTGTTCATTAACAGAAAAATGGCTACATTTAATCTTTAGGACAAAAAATACCTACATTTAGTCTTTAGGACAACTTAAACTCAGAATTTGGTAAACTTTTATCTAGGTAGTTTCACTAAAATAAAATCTAGTTTCTGCCGTAATTAATCCAGCATGACCACACATGGTCATGTAAGCAGAGGCTACATGTCACAAATTACTTCCTGTCTATCTGCATAAAGTAAGAAGCATGTGAGTTTTTAATCCACATGTGACTTACAGTGTCTGCTATTAAACCTTCTTCCAGGGCTTCTAAAAGCAACAAAGTATGGTTCAACTTTGAGTTTCCTTCTTGTTTCTTTCCTAGTATAAGTTCCAGTGTAGAAGCTAATGAATCTTAGACTAATGGCTGAAAGCCAGACAGTGGCAAAAAAGCAAAGGACCTAGACAATTCAGATTGGACACAGGAGTACATCAAACAAAAGTGACCTTATTTATTCCAGCCAGTGAATATGTCTATACAGAGAGGTCATGTTTGAGCCATACAACCAAAAATACTTAGAACTGCTAAAGTAGGACCCTGTGTCTAGAAAAACTGTGGGTGAAGGTATAGGAGAACCATTAAAATATTCAAATGATAAAGTAGTAACAAAACTAGGCTATCCAATGTGACTTGTACTATCACCCGTCTGCAAAGCCACTCTGTTCTCTGTCAATTCACTAAAGGCGTTCTATCAGATGAATGGGCAGTAGAGAAATGCACTAGAAATTAGCCACAGGCCTATCCACCCCAGCGCAGACTTTGGTATAAGCTAAGACCATGGGACTGTTCTTGATGTGGGTTTAACTGGCCCACCATGTATGTTCTCTAGTCTCTATTATGTTACCTTAGCAAGGACTAGTCTTATCTTTCCATATAACCTTTAATTTTTAAGAGCATACATTTTAAATATGATCCTTTTGATGGTCACTTTGGGAATAGTTTAAAAGGGTCAGTACAATTGTGGAAGCTGCCCACATAAACATCATCAAAGTAGCTGGAGACATTTCTATATAAATCATTTATTAATCATAATTAAACCTTACTCTTTGTATGTCAGAGATCCATGATGAACTTCCTTGCCATGGCACATGTAAACATTAAAATATTAAAATCACTACAATAAACTAATGAAAAATGTTACAAGATAATCCCAGAGAGGGTAAATTAGCAGTCATGTTACTGCTGATGCAGAGGAGCAAGAAATTTCAGGAGAAACTGTTTTTTGTAGGAGAAATAGATTACCACTTAATCTTCACTACATGGATAGCAGCCCTGAAAATGCATCCACTGATAGTCTTACTTCCTAAAGAACGAAGGGCAGAATAAGAGTTCCCCACACGCAAGATTTACAAAGCCCCATGCAAAGGTGTTCTTCCAAGCTCTGATCAAACTCTTGATAGTCCTAAAGACTAAATGCAGAGTAACATCAGTTCTGCCTTGTGGCTCACAACAGATTTAGATTTAGATGGTCAAGATTTCAGAATTTTCATTCAGTAAAAAATATGACATAAAGAATATGCCTGCTGGGCCCTCCCTGGTGGCACAGCGGGTTAAAGTGCAGCACTAAGAAGCTAAAGCATGAGTCCAATCCCCGCCCCAGAGGTGATCCACATGGTGTGGCAGACCTCTCCTGACCTGCCTGCTGCTCCCCTCAGCAGTGTACTTCATCAGTCAGCCTGTTCTGCTCCCCACTCTGTCTCTGGTGAATCCTCTCACCGTCCCTGCACCTCTGGCCTATACCTCAATTCTGTATGCATAAATAAATAAATCTTAAAAAAAAAGAATACATCTGCTATTTCTTTAGGCAGCAGTTGGCATGCTGGACTCCAACTTCACATTTTCATTTATACTTTAAAGATGCCAAATTTTAAAGGTTATAATCTAGTATAGAAAGCTTGAAGTTAAAGTTTGAAAACCCATGTTTTCGTTGTGGGGTGAGGCAGGGAACTATAACAATGCCAATGATGAAATATCTACTATGGTCTGATACTTTTTATGCTCTGGAAAAACATACAATAGACATTATTTCCTTGGTTATCAAATAGATTGGTTATTCTTGGTAAAGGGATAGCAATGTTTGTGTCTGTCCCTATGGCTAATATGGATGTCTAATCAATGAAAGTGCATTAAAGATGGGAAAATTTCTGCAAACATAGGATCTAATTTTTACATTATCAGCACTAACTTGTATTTAAAATCTCTAGTTGTAGATGTAATTGTCAACAATATTAGTATATACAGTGGACATTTAAGGTTTTAATAGCCTCAAGAGTCCAGGTGCTGCAAACTTACTAAAAACATCTTTGGAAGGTTTAATCTCTTAAATATCCTTGCCGCTTGACTGTGTGAATTCTGAATAATAAACTTATTATTTCTAGTGTATTATGTGAGCCATATGTTGGCTAATTAGCATTCTATGTATGGCCATGAAAAACGCAAATGTCTCCAGTGTGAGGCAACGCCTGCTGTCTATGTGGCTCAGAAAGGTCCTTCCTAGACGGCTGAACGAAGGGGAGACAACTCCAAGTTAACTTCTTTTGCTTTTGCTTTTCTTACTTATTTGCATGAACCTCATTTACGGCACCCTGCATAGTTATTCTAACACAAATATTTCTGTTAAACTCTGTATGTTTTTAACCTGGCAAAATTCTTTCACATCCTTTACCTAACTTGGTTACTTGAATAGTAACTGAGTAAGCAAATCTATTTATAAGGGCATGGGCCTATATTAAAACTCACTTTACCATAAAAGTGACATGCAGTTTCCACTAAGTATTGAGTTTCAGCTGCTAGTTTTCTCTTTGCAATCATCTACATACCTGGAAAGGGACTCTGCACCAAAATTAGCACAGCAAGTTACCAAGGATGGACAGAGATGAAAGACAGGGAGACAGTGGGGCTGAAAATAGCTAGAACAATCTAAAAGGCATATGTTCCAAGATTAGAACAGATCAACAAATCTAATAAACTAGAATATCCTGTGACTTCTTTGTCAAATAGAAGTACAAATTCTATTACCCAAACAATGAATAAATGATTTGGGAAGACGGAACCGTCAATCTGTATACCTAAAAAGTGGCTTACACAATTCTTCCATTTAGAGGACATCACACTTTTATTTTTAAAATGAATGTCCTCATGGGCTCTTTAAAAAAAACCCTCAACTATAACATTTAGGGAACAAAAAGTTTGGAAAGGTACAGTACACTGTGTCTAGGACTGGGTGCTCAGTGAGTTGATTAGAAATACATACTGTAAGACTTCAAAATATTACCTGGCTACTGTTAATTATCCTTCTCCTTCCTTCCAATATGTATGTGCAAGTGCTCAACTTCAGGTACAGGAAGCGGTTAACTTCAGCACAAAAAATGCCAAAAGGCTTCAAATTAGACACCTAAACTAGGATGTATGAGACTAACAGAAAATGTATATGACTAGACGATAAGAATTAGGAATTGTTATCATAAAAGATGAAACCTTAGCATTGTGACAGAATGTCCCCAAATCTTCAAAATAGCTTTATAACAATAAATAGTGCTATTTAGAAAATGCCACAGTTAAGATGTCAGTATTCTCTACTAAGTCAAAAGGACATAAACATAAAATGCAGGCAGAGCAGCTACAGTCAATGCACTTGATCCACATCAACCTAGAAGCTCTCTCACGCATTCCAGCCTTTGACACTCTGCCACACCATTAGCACCTACTGAAAGGCGGACCTAATGGGAGCTGGGAATGAAGATGAAGTCACCAAAAGTTACACAGACTTCTAAAAGAAAGGGCTCATGACTTTGAAACGGCCTGTGTCTTCACATTATCTATACCTTCACAGAGACTTCCCCACTAAGGAGCACAGACAAAAAGTTAAATTTACTTTAAATGATCCCAATATACTTTTGGTGTCGCTCTTTTTAAAATAGATCATACCATAATGTTCTTTTGCTTTTATTTCATTTTTACCATGAACTGAGATCAGACAATTGCGCAGTATCTGGAGACAGCATATTGGTAGTGCCTTGGAACAGCCTCTTGGGCTGGCTCTCTGTTTCCATTTCACCTAAAACAGAAAGAGGTGGAGCTTTAAGGCAATTTAGATACACACTTGGTGCTAAAATGGGTGATCTTTGTTTAACCAAAGTTCTGAACACATCTTCAAACTATTACTTAAAAGCTCTTTTTTTTTTTAAAGATTCATTTATTTATGTATACAGAACTGGGGTATAGACCAGAGTTGCAGGGGTGGTGAGAGGATTCACCAGAGACAGAGGGGGGAGCAGAATAGGCCAACTGATGAAGTACACTGTTGAGGGGAGCAGTGGGCCAGTCAGAGAGGTCTGCCACACCATGTGGGTCACTTCGGAGGTGGGGATCAAATTCATGCTGAAGTGGCTTTAGCTTCTTAGTGCTGTGCTTTAACCTGCTGCACCAACAGGGAGGGCCTGTTTTTTTTTTTTAAAGAACTATTTATTTATGCATACAGAACTGGGGTACAAGCCCAGGGGTGGTGAGAGGACTCACCAAAGAGAAAGTGGGGGGCAGAACAGGCTGATCAACGGGATTACACTGCTGAGAGGAACAGCAGGTGGGCCGGCCAAGAGAGATCTGCTGAGCCATGTGGATTACCTCTGGGGCTGGGGACTGAACTCGCACTGAAGAAGCTGCGTTGGCTTGCAGTGCTGCGTCCTTACCCACTGCACCACCAGGGAGGGAACAAAGCTGTTTTTCTATGTGCTAATTTAATGTAAAAGAAAGATATTTTCATGTAGCCACAGCCAAACTATTAGCAGCCCTAAAAAAAAAAAACAAAAACAAAAACAAGAACGCCTCCCTGCTTATTATATGTAGTGCTGAACAGATAGCCATGTTTTTAACAGAAGAATAAAATACTGATTTTATGAACAAAATAATGGTTAACTATATTAGAAAGAAAGTAGCCCACAAATAGCTGACATGCATGATAAATAATAATTTATGCCAGAAAATTAGTAAAAACTACTGATTTTAAATATATATATATATATATATATGTGTGTATATATATATATGTGTGTGTGTGTATTCAATATCAGACAATTTTCTAAGTGGAAGTCAAATGGGTTAAAAGTACATAGCCTAATAAACAATATGTAAATCAAAGTTTGCCTTAGACTGCTTAGTGCAAATGAATATTAAAAATATAAGTTTGGGGCCCTCCCTAGTGGCGTAGCGGGTTGGTAGCGGGTTAAAGCACAGCACTAAAAAGCTTAAGCCACCTCTGCATGAATTTGATCCCCGCTTGCCCCGGAGGAGATCCACATGGCGGGGCAGACCTCTCCTGACCCGCCCGCTGCTCCCCTCAGCAGTGTACTTCGTCGATCTGCCTGTTCTGCTTCCCGCTCTGTCTCTGGTGAATCCTCTCACCCTCTGCATCTCTGGTCTGTACCCCAGTTCTGTATGAATAAATAGATAAATCTTTTTTTTTTATATATTTTTTAAAGATTTATTTATTTATTCATACAGAACTGGGGTACAGGCCAGAGGCTCAGGGACGGTGAGAGGCTTCACCAGAGACAGAGTGGGGAGCAGAACAGGCAGATTGACGAAGTACACTGCTGAGGGGAGCAGCGGGCGGGTCGGGAGAGGTCTGGCTCGCCATGTGGTCTCCTCCGGGGCAGGCGGGAATCGAACTCATGCGGAAGTGGCTTCAGATTCTCAGTGCTGTGCTTTAACCCGCTGCGCCACCAGGGAGGGCCAGATAAATCTTTTTTTAAAAAAAAGTTTGAAAGTACATCTATAATTGAAATCAATTGTTAATCAGTTCACAAAATTAGTACTATACTGGCTACCTCAATCCTATAAATCTCAGAAATGGCAATAGAAAAACTTTGCACCAATAGAAGTAACAGTCAACCAGAAATTTTGCCACCAGAAATGCAAAACTAACCAGCCTACATGAGAGAAAAAGTTCCTCTCCAAACAAGCTAGGATTTTATTTAAAACATGAATATAACCTTGGTTTTAAAACTCTTTAAGCTTTAAATGGAATGTTAAAGACAATTTAATTCATGAACCTTCCTGTACTCAAGTAGGAAATTAGTAATTGTGAACTTAAAACTGTGTAAGATTTTTATGATACAAAAAGATAAAGCAAAAAAAATGCAAAATTCATTTTTCCCCTATGTGATCAATTAATTCATATTATCTTTCCTCTGGCACTATTCTGAATATTACTGAAATTTAGGGAAGATTATAAGATTTATTTGCTTAATTTCCCATGCTTTAATGTACAACTTTAAAAAGCTGCCGCAGATGCCACTGGACTTTCAAAATCTTATCAGCAAAAGACATTAGCCCTTTTTAGCAAAGAATTCCTCCATCTGCTGGTATATTCTGGAATAGCTTTGAAACTAAACATTTTTAGCAACTTCCTGCAAATTTAAAGTTAAGAATGACAATAATAGTAGCTTTTATTTCCAAGAATTATTTTCACCTAACAGTTCCAGGGGAGGTTCGGAGGACTGTAAATAATTCCTTATAAAACTAAGAAAAAAGACTACTGTTTCAAAAAACAAAATTTATTCACTAAAACAAATACTGTCCCCATAACAGGATCTGGTTTCCAGAGCACTTCACCTTAATGTGAAGTGGTCTGAGACAAAGCACATTTTCAATCAGTAAATGATGCTATCACTGGAAAGTTTTCACCAAAGCCACAAGTATCCATTTACCTGACATGAGAAGTGTTCATTTGTTATGGGCCCCAAAGGCAAGCTGCATGAAGAAACTAATTATTAAATTGCTGATTTATTTTAAATTATTGTTAAAATTCCTGTGTTAACTGCCATCCAACACTTGCAATCATGTGGTCATAGTCTTCAATATACTTATTAAACCTGTGTTAAATTGCTTTGCCTATTTTTTAAGGTGCCCCATAAGCATCTAAAACTAGCAATAAGCAAAGATCATTTTAGTTTAGCGTTCTGTGGTTCAGAACAGGGTTTAGAAGTGTGCCCCCACTGTATCTAAAACTCCGAGACCTGAATATGAGGCAACTCTCTGCCGAGGTGTAATTTGGTGGTGGCTACATATGCACATTAGCACAACTATCAAAGATAAGCAGATATTTCTGTGCCATATCCACTTGCACCTCTTTTCCATTTAGATCACTGAGAGGCAAAATTTTTGGAATGCATATTGATAATACGAATATATGAATAGGTGAATGAGATTCAGTTATGAAGTGTAAAAAATATACACAGTATCAAATAACTAATTTACAAAATTTAGAATTGGTAAAGTACACATTGGGAATAATAGTTTACATTTCTTAAGAAAAAAAGGAGCAATGCCTTGAAGTATTTTCAGGCAGAAATTCAGATTAATTTGCAATTCCAGCTCAGTTAGGTTTAGTACGAGATGTGTAAAACCCACCTTTTCTTTTAATTGGACCAAGAACACTGGGCCTAATGCACTTGACTGGACTCTGACTCCTCCTGCTCAGAAGAATAAACAAAGATGACATGAAGTACTTTGAAGCTGCATTATAAACATTATAGTTCACCAAGTAAATCCACAAAACTGACAGACAGGGAAAAATGGAAAACACCTGTGTTGTAAGTTGAGTCACCGAAATGCATACCATTTGAAGCTATTTTTAAAAATCATTCTGTAAGACAAAATAACCGCAATAGCTTAAAAAAAAAAAAAAGTAAACCTTATTTTGGGATGCTGACAATCTTATTTTTTTTCCTTATCCCTTACAGAGGATATATGATATGTTATCATGTGAGTGAATATAAACTGAAACCAAGTCTCAAAACAATAATTCTGGTAAAATGTTGCTGGAAGCACATAAGTAGTAGGTACATTCATAATAAAACGTTGGTGGAAAGTTCATCAGAGAGCCAAGTTTAAAGACTAGTATTTAAAAGCACATTTAAAAAGATCTGCTGACCTGGAAAAGCGTCTTGGACTAGGAACAGGACTGGGTGGTAGCCCACTGCTGCTCACAAACATTTGTAAGGACGGTGAAAAACATTGCTAGGAAAAAAAAAAAAACATTTAGCATATAAAGTGTTCCAGTTTTCAAAAGGTTCTCAAAATGACAAACATCCTAGCATTCTTAGCTGTCTATGTCTTCAACATGTTCATAGTTAGGTGGCTATCAGAGATTTCCATTCACTCTTTCCAGTCATTGGATCCTTGAAAAGTAAGTTGATGTGTGCAAAAGAGAAAACAGCTCAGTGTTTGAAAGAGGGTTAACATCTTGTCAATGAACCTACCTTACCAAATCCTCTGGTGGGTGATGGTGCTGGAGAAACTGGAGTGAAGTCAATCCTTTTAGGAGAATATAATTTCTCTGGCTTGTCAAAATCACTATCACTCTGTGAACATAAAGTGTTATTTCCTCAGAATTTACAAATCAGCACATCATAGCTCTTCTGGACTACTGAAACAAACCTACATTTTAGAGTAGAAATGTACAAACTCTAAAAAGTTGCAACCAAATATTCTGAAGGAAAAGCAAAGTTCAACAAATAAGTTAAAATTTGGAAGCAAAGAGGATGAAAGTATATGGCAAAGTTAACAAAGCAAATGAACAACCTAAAGGTTTCTAGAAAATAAAAGCTAAGTAGATATGTAGAAACTTTACCAGGCTCAAGCTCTCATCCCACGACTGGCTTATCTGCATTGCCGTTTGCACTTCTCTGAAACGAATAAAAAGGAAACCATTAGTGTCCAGAAGTGAGACCTACATTACATGCCCTGTGCCTGGGAAGCACTGACCTTTCATGTGCACTCTCTCTGTTCACCATCTCCATGCCTTCTTCCTGCAAAAACAGACCTGTGTTGAAAATATGGTATGTACCGACCCACCTCTGTCTCAAATAATATAAAAAAGGCTCTTTTCTGCCCACTTGTCATAATTACAGTACAGGAGAACTAACATTCTCAGATGGTCACTTATGCCAAGTCTAATATTTTATCTGCATACTCGGAAGGATGTTTATCTGCCAACCACTAATCACAGGTGCTGTCTGACTCATTTTTAATATGTAAATCTTCAAAATGAAAATCAAATCAAAATGTAAAATCTGAGCTAGTAAGTAAAATTTACCCTTTTGATTTGATGCAGTCTGCTACTAGGAATACGATTAGGTGAAGATGACAGCAACTGGAAAGAAAAAGTAAACATTTACTATTTTCTGAATTATAAAGCAGCAGTCGCTGTCAGTAGTGGTGTACAATTTCTTCCTGGATTATTTTTCATATTCTTCTTGGAAATTCAGCTCTTTAAACCACTGAACATTAATGCACTAGAGGCAGTACATTCAGTCTTTAGGAAAGTACACCAGGTGTCCAACCTCAAAGCACCATCTGTCGCTAGACAGGCACTGACTTTGACACTTTTCCCAAATGAATGCAGAGCTGTGTACATTTATGTTAAAAAAAAAAGGACTCCAGGCCTTGAAAACTGCATTACACCATTTACCTAAAATAAGGAACTATATACAAAGGGAAAGAAAAAAAATCCTGACTTCACTTTTATTATTAATGCTCCAGTGGAGAAGATGGGCTAACGAGTCCAGTACAAAATTTTGTCTATGGTCAATGCCGACTAAAAACACTTTAAAACTGCAATAAGGACGGGGATTACAATTGAGATGGAAAAAAAGAAGAAAATATGTACAAAATGATGTAAAAATAAACTGTTATAAAATAAAATAAAAACTGCAATAAGGAAATTCTGCTTGCAGGGCCTAAGCCAACTCTAAAATGTGATCACTAATGCTGTCACCACAAACCTTATAAGTTGGGGGGGGGGAATCCAAGGTATATTTTTAAAATATCTGTTTCTTTCCTTTCAATATCCATTCTTTAATAATATATAGTGCTGAAATGATCTGGGGACAAATTAGTTCCTTCAAAATAATCACTATCTGATCACAAAATGTAAGGAACAATTCACATTAGCACACCTTACAGGCTTCCAATAGCCATATCATAAATAGCTACTACTTATCCCCTAATGAAATGCAAATGAATTTGTAAACTATAAAACCAAGACAATTACTCTGGAACAAGAGGACCTAGCCTATTAAAACTTTTAAAATACTGATTTAGTACACAGTTTATAAAATGGTGATCAACAGCTCTAAATATTTTAGGGAAATGCTAACTCAGGTAAAAATTTTGAAGTTATCCATTGAAATATGGTTTTACTTCAGTAGCTATCCTTCCATAATCACCTTCTTCCACTTTTTCCTCTTCATAGCTTTGAAGAGAAAAATTTCACCAGTAAAACCCTCTTAAAAACTATTTTTTCCATTATGTAAGTAAATCCATGTTTGCTGGTGAACTCTTAATAAGGACATTTGAAAAACACTGAGCTCCTGGGCATGTAAATAAAGCAGGGAAGACTGTAACGGGATAGTGTGGAAGTGAACAGGGACATGTTCTTCAGAGAACAAAAGACACCCCCAAAAGCATGTAGAATAATCAGGAAAGTCAAAGGAAGACTTGCCAGAAGCTGATTGCAGAGAGCCAGAAATTCAGATGCTGTGTCTACATGATATACAACTTGTCACTTTTAGAAAGAACTAGAAAGTCGGACCCAAAGAAGGCCAGGGAGAAGCAAAGTCATGACTAGTACTAGAAACCAGAGGGGGGAAAAAATAAAGACTCACAGGGGTGCTGGCCACTGGGGGCTCAAGTAGGGTAAGAGGCTCCACCAGTGGCAACCAAGTGGGCATTGGTGTCTTTCACAAGAATCATTTTTAAATGGAGTTGGGGATAGAAGTACTGAGATTACAAATAGGCTGAATAGTTGGCAGGAAATCAGAGAAGGAATCAGAAGCAGTTGAGTGCAGGTTGCACTTTGAAAACGCTTAGAAGCAGAAAGGGGGGAAAGGGCAGGAGAGACCCGAGGGTAAAAAAGATTGCTTTCCAAGATGCTAGATGTGAGTCAGGAAAAGCAGGTAAAAAAGAACCAGCAAGAAAGAAACTGAAGACACAAGATACAGAGGAGAGGATAGACCAGGCAGAGTCAGAAAACTTAGGAACCCTTAGGAGAAAGTGCCACATATACTGTAGGAGGAAAAAAGCTAATGTGTGTTTAAACAAGAAAGGCATCTGCCTTCTCTGTGAAGAGAGAAGGGTCATCTGCTCAAAGTGAAAGATGGTGAGACAGGAAGCTTGCAGAGTTCCCCCACGCCATCCCCCAAGAGTCAGACTATTTCTTTGGAGCACAGCATGGGATCCATGCTGGGGCTTATAGTACTCTGAACCCCACATGCTCAGAAAGATGTGCTCTTCTTTCCAATCAAAAGACCAATTCTTCTTAAATTCCCAACTGGTAAGAAAGGCAACACTCTGGTCACCAAGAAATAATATTTCAGGGAGTTTTCCACATCCGCCAGGGAAACTAAGCATTTGTCAAACCATGAAGGTTCCACTTCCGCAGGTCCCTTTTGTCAGTCCCCTCCTTTCCATTTCATTCACCAACACCCTACTTTCTGCAGGTGAACAAAGGATATGGGCAAATATATTAAGATGCATAGAGTACACACTATGATTTAATGTACACGGTGCAATCAATACTGTAATGGGAGCACCCAAAGGTGCTGTGAAAGTTTCCCAAAGGAAACCTGAGGATGAAGTTGCATTTTGAAGGACTGGAAAGCTACACAGAAGGGGGTGACATAAAGGCAGAATAAGCATTAACAGAGAGCAATGAATCCCCATGGGCTCTTTAGCAAACTATTTCACTGGAGCTAGAGCAAAGGGTATCTGTCAGGGAACAGTGAGAGATGAGCCCAAAATGAGGTGATAAGAATCTTCACATTGTACAAAAGAACAAAGTGATGTGGGCCCTCCCATGTGGTGCAACAGGTTAAAGCACAGTGAAGCTGGCCACAGTCACTTCATTGCAAGTTCAATCCCCATCCTGGAGGTGACCCACATGGTGCGGCAGACCTCTCCTGTCTCGCTCACTGCTCCCCTCAGCAGTGTACTTGATCTATCTGCCTGTTCTGCTCCCCAATCTGACTCTGGTGAATCCTCTCACTGTCCCTGTACCTCTGGCCTGTGTCCCAGTTCTGCATGCATAAATAAATAAACCTTTAGGAAAAAGGAACAAAGTGATGTGTAGAGAAGCAAATTCATTTTCCCTTCCTTGCCATCAATGCTATTGATATGAGAAGCACAGCTATTTAACAAGTAGAAGTGTTTTTCATATATACAGCAAAAATAAGTAGTTTCCAGTATCCTCAGGGAAGGAGGTGAAATGAATTAAACCTTCAGATAGCTTAATACCTTAAGTATTTTTAGCCACTTCAGCTGGAATTTTTTCTTTTAAGTCGTTTTCTTTCCCTTCTTAAACAGATTATACGAAACAGAATGGCACTGATCTATCTCTACTGCAACCCCAACTCTGCCACTTACTAATTGTGTGATTCTGAGCAAGTCACATATATTGGTTGAGTCTCAGCCACTGATTCTTTTAATTGGAAAAATGTCTTTGGCCCTGCCTACTTCGCAGGGGTCGTTATGAGAATTAAATGTGTGAAAGTACATTGCAACATGCAAAATACCATATAAGGGTAGATATTACTGTAATTTCAGAAAAGGTCAATGACCCAGGTAGCTTGAAGAACATGAATTATTATACAGTTCTAGGCCAGTGACACCCTCAGGACCTATTAACAAGTTCATCCAAAGCCACAGACTAATTTTTTAATACCTCTTACTGCTTCTCAATGTTCCCTTCTTCTCCTTTCTAGCAGTTATTAGTATACTTTGAACTCAAATGGACCCCTTCTGATTTGCTGCTTCTCACACATTACTGGGTTGGAAGCTTATTATAATGGTGCATAAATTTTAGATGATTCAGAGGTCAGAGGTTCTCCTATAAATAAACAGATGGACCTCTGAGCACAGGCTATGGAAATCCAGTTCAGCCATTTACAGGTCTGTTTGCTTACATCTCAGATATCTTCCAGAGCACTATAGCCAGTGGGTAAGTAAGCTCCACATGTGAAGTGCTACTCTATAAAAACCTCATCATAATTTTTCCCAACACAACCAACTAATAAGGTGACCTCTGACAGCTCTGCTAGATAGAACAGTCACAATCAGCCACTCTACTGAGAATATATATACAAACATTTTATAGCATTCTATACTGTCCAACAAATGATGTCAGAACTAAGCATGCATTTCCCATTTAGGCAATTTCTACATCCTGGAACAAAGACTACTGTTCTCATCTAAAATTCAGGTTAATCCTGACTTACCTCACCATGATGCAAGTAGTGACAAAAAACAATGAACAGTTTTTAAAAAAGATAAAGTCCTATAGCCAAGAAACACATTTAACCGGGTCTTTTATTTTATTTTATTTTATTTTGCACAAAAAGCTGAAAATGGCCTTAGCATAAGCAGCAAACAAGATAGGTAAAACCAGTGTTTCCTTTTGTAAAGAAAGAAGTTCAGCTGACAGTGGCTTCCTTAACCCAAACCACCAGGGAATACTTACACTACACTTCTCTACTTACCAAGCTGTGACGACTCATAACCGTTGTACTATTCCTCCGAGTTCGAAATGTGTAAGGTTGGAAAATCTGTGAAAGGTCACTGAAAAAATAAAACCACAATGAGCAATGTCTTTTCATTGAAGAGATCCTTCAACTCTGAATTCTCTATTCAACAATGAGATCTTCCAAGGGTCCTTACTTCATGCAACGAACCAGACCTTCACTGTGCTCTTCACCAAGCTCCCCAAGTGGTACACTATGGGTTACAGGCTGGTGGGGATACTGATTTGCCCTAGGATTGGTGGACAGCTAGGAGAGGTAGGGGCGGAGCTCCAGACTGGTTGTCTCCAGCTCCTGCTGGTCAGAGCTCATACACCCAAACCAGTTACTGCCAGACATGAACAGTCACATCTGTTTAACCCAGAGGACCTGCAAATATTACTGTTCTCTGTGTGTGGCATGACTCGTGAAGGGCTGGGGAGCCCTACTCTGCCACATCAGCCCCATCAGCTTACTTCCCACAACTAACCTAGGAATGTGTTCTATCTTCCAGCCCCGCTGCTCAACTCAATCAGCATACCTGGATTTTTGCTCATGTTGCCCCTTCTGACTCAAATGCCTTCCCTTCCAGCACCATCTGTCAAAATGTTTCCTCTCCTTCAACACCCATCTCAAATGCCATGCCCTCCATGGTAAATCCTCTTTTCATTCCACAAACCTAAAGAAATCATTCCATCCTTTGAACCCAAAGAATGCAACAAGATGAGTTGCCATAGACACCAACTTTATCTTTTATTAAGGCAAAGTATGTGTCCTGAACCCCTTTAGAGGTGTTTGTTCATCCCTGCAAAACCACCCTGCAGTGCCTAGCAGTGTGATGCCCATGATAAGAGATCTAGAAGGCTTTTTAGGACTGACTGAATTGGGCTTCAGGGGACCACTAAAATCACCCAATCCAGTTCTCCTAAGTTTTAAATGAGAAAACAGAAACTCAGGCTAAATGACCCATTCATGATCATTTCTAGTTAGGGAGAAAATTGGTACTAGGCCTGGTCACGTCCTTCTTCTCTGTCACATCATGCTACCTACCTAGCAATTACTTAAATTGTGATAAAAAAAAAAAAAACAGTACGCTATTTCTACAACAGTCTAAATGCAGGTCAACAGGTTTGCCCTCATCCCTAGCAATTGCTTGCAAAACAGACTGAAAAAGACAACTCAAAAGACCGGTTTATTCCTATAGCAGAGAAAATAAAATGTAGTGCTGAACACAGCACTAGGAAAGCAGTCACTCCATCATTCTGTTTCAAAATTTAATAAAAGAAAAAAGTAAATTCATTTCCTCCCCCCCAAAAAGCAGATATTACAATTAGTTGATAGACAAGGATTATATTTCTTTGCCTTCACCATGCTCGATTAATGTTTTTAGCTAATTCTACTCCCACCCCCCTTTCTGGACTAATTCCATTTCTACAGGGTCTTGTAAATTGGCTCTTTACCTAAGATGAATTATCTAAAGAAATCAAATGCAACAGAGTTAGGCGATCTGCCAACCTAACCTTGACTATCACCTTAAAATAGACACTCTGGCTTATTTACATAAAAACATAAGACCCTACCACTGAAATTCAGGGTAAAAATTCTTTCCATTGTTTCCTGAAACCTGTGTTTCCACAGACCTAACTTACATGCCACACAGCTTTTTTTATTCACTAGAATGCATTTCAGGCCGTTTTATGATCTTAAAATAATACAACTCCAAGTGACTTAACATAACAGGAACAAACCATTTAATTACAAGTTATTACCTGCATTGTAATCGATTAAATAAAGTAAACCGGTTAATACCAGGGTTCCTAAACTAGGCTTGGAAATAGAAGCTCTTAGAAACAGGTGTCAAGTTGCAAGTGTAGTTGCAGGGGTTTCAGTCTGACATTCAGTGGTGTAAATTCGGCAGGCCAAACAACCTGTTAGAAGATCCAGAAGCTTCTGGTAGTTCTTTTGACAATGGAGCCAACAAAGCCCCAGGTAGAGAGGATACCATCGTCCCCGCCCGCCCCCCCAAACACACACACACACACACATAGCCCAGAGTTTGAGGTCAAACTTTCATTCCACTTGAAGACCCAAGTCACTGTCAAGCAAAGAAATCCCCACCCCCTCAGTTCGGAAAGTCCCGAAGGAAGCACCAACTCTCACTTTAAGGAGGAGTGCTGGTGTTAGGTGTCCAGGAGCCCCTGAACCCTGTACTCCATCCTCCCCTGCCCTGCTCACCTGAGCCCATGGATCAGGGGAGCACTGTTGGCTCTCCTCAGGGTGCACCCATCAGAGGTGTCAGTCTCAAAGTCCAGCTCCATTTTCTCCTGAGCCATGTCGGAGACTTGCAGGCAGGCACAGCGGACAGTGCTCAGCTCCTGGTGCTTAGCTATGGACTCCCAAGACTCTCACTGCAGGACTGAGCTGCTGGGGACTGGCAGCTAAGGGGCGGAGGCTTAGGGGCGGGGGCGGGGG